AACAATGCACATAGTTTTCTAGAGAACTGATAAGAGCACAGAAACTTCAACAAAAAACCAAGACACTGATTTACTTTATAAGGCTGTCATTAAGTGTCAAAACACGATAGTGATTCAGTGCATATTCTTGGTAGACTTCATTTTTTAAAAGATACTCTTAGGTGAAAAGGAGTTTAGAATCAATTCCTCAATTCTTTTAACCCAGTGAATCATTTAAGATGGGAAACATCCAAATTTGATTCTTTGTTATAAACCTAAGTTTCAGTTTGAATCAAGCCTTCCCTGTGAAGCAAGAAGTAGGAAGCAATAGTTTCGATTGCTCTCATTTAAAGAATGAAAATAAGAGGGGGGGGGAGTAAAAGCACAAGAGAATAAAAAATACTTTTACCAAGAAAAAGAACAAAAGTACAACTAGCAAAATAGATAAATGTCTTATTGCCAAATATTTGAAATATTTTTTCCCTTTGATTATCTGTGCCACCATGGTTTATATCCACCTACTCCCAGGTGTTAAAGCTGGATGCAAAGGGCCCACTTTTGGAACTTCTTTTATAACGTATGTGTTGCTCAGTCATTACACAAACTTGTGAGTAAATGTCTAAAGACAGAGTACACAATCATGACTGACTTGGGGTTCTAGAGGGTTAGATGTGCTGCGAATTCTGAGTAGACAAAAGACCAATTCAAAGGACAACTGGGTGGACCTTGATTTGGTTCTATTGATAAACAGGAACAGGACTTCCCAGTTTCCTTACCTGGCATCTGGTATCACCTTATGAATTGGAATGGCACTGGAAATGTGCAGGAATTCAGTTGAATTCATGTTTAGGAAGCTAAGTTTTGGATACTAAAATATGATACATTTCTTGGGGGTACTGCTGGACAGAGCCATGAGCTTCTGAGGGTTTAACTGGAGTTTCCCACATCAGGGTACCAATACTGTCATCTTCTGGCATGGATGATACTGTCTGTAACCTGCTGGTGGTGGTTCCCTTCGGATTTGGCAGCTCAAGAAACAGCCTTTCTCTGCTGAGGATACCTTGTATTTTCAGAATGTTCCCTTGTATGGGATCCATAAAACACCTTTGTATCCTGCCTCAATTTTGTTCAGAAAAGTGTAACTGTGTCTTAGTCTATTCAGGGTGTTCTAACAAAGTACATTAAACTGAGTAACTGAGAAACAACAGAAATTTATTCCTTACATTTCTAGAGGCTGTGAAATCCAAGATCAAGGTGCCACCTGATTTAGTGTTGACTGATGGCTTTCTCTCCTTGCATCATAGATGGTGCTACCTTTCTGTGTCCTCACATGGTAGAAGGGGCTATGTAGCTCTCTGGGGTCTCTCTTATAAGAGCACTAACCCCACTGTGACCTAATCACCATTTAAAGTTACTACTTTGTATACCCTCAGCTTGGTTTTGATATTAGGTGATGTTATTTCTTTGGTATAAAAACTCTAAATTAGAGCCACGGTATAAACCTCTGGAGTGTTCAACCATTGAATATTATCAGGACAGAATTATGAAGTATCCCTTTTGTGAAATAAAATATACTCAAAGGCCACCCTGATAATTAAATGAATTTAGAGTTTGGAAGAGATTTTTTTTCAAAATAGAGAAATGAAGATATGTTTTTACTTTAACTTATAATATTAATAAAGATGTCCTTGTTTGAGAAAGGTAGCCCATTTAAAAGAAGTCACAAATAACTCACAGATCTGCTGAGTAAATGTACCATTGCTTCTTTGTTTAGTGTGTTTCTTTACAAATCTTTGTGTATGAGAAAATGGAGGGGAAAATGATAGATGAAAGGCACAGTGGCATGAAAAGAACAAGAGACTTCATGAAATTGTCCCATCTTGACTACTTTGCTTGATATCTATAACACTTGGGACCTCAGTGTTTTGCAGTCCATGAAGAAAATGGGTTGAACTCAAGGATCTCACAGATGTTGGGACAGCTCTATTATCAGAAAGAAAATGTTTCCCTCAGCCAGCTTTCTAACAAGGCCTTTTTTATAATGTTCTTGCTAACTGAAATTTCTCATGTTCAGAGCCTTTTAGCTACAATGTTTAAATCTAATTATTCTTAATGAAATAAGTGCCTTCAGCTCAGGCATCCACCTATGATCTTGACTCGAGGTTGAGGAAGCCTAGTAGGGTATCTACTTAGGGATATTTGTAGCCCCTTGTGTTAGTAGTTTATTCTCTACCCACAAAGCAAACTTCACTAGAAAAAAAATCTCAAAAGTTCACTTTAATTGCTAGATTTCATCTGCCACAGACAGAATGCTGTTAATTTTTCATCCAAAATGTCTCACTCCTTTTGGACACTTGGTGGAATTAGAAACCATGTATATTTGCCAGACCAAACTGACAGGTTGTGGTTGCCAATGGCAGATGAGTAGGCAGCCCAGATGATTTGCTGCTCCCTCTCAAATTCATGTGTGACACAGGGAGAATACATATTTCCCTTTTCTCCCATCCTTATCAAAATATTTTCCTTTTCCAAGGTCTGAATGTCTTTTGACAGTTCCCAAGTCACCAAGATTCAGAACCCCAACCAACATTACTACCATTAAAGCCAATTTTACCTGTCTTACCAAGATTCCTGGTCAAGAAGGGGAGTTCCTGAGGGTGGCGTCCCTACCCTGCCACAGTGTCTCTCTAAGACCTCTCAACGAGTAAGAGATACTCAGGGCCAAATGTCTGGTTTAGCTTCTCTTTCTCCCCTAGCAATCTTAATGATCCAAAAACCACAAAATAAATCCTCTTCAAAAGTAGCCTGAAAAATGTGGCTATGTTAATGATTTTTTTCTGTCGTAGGAAAAAATTTAGTAGGAAATGTTTATTCAGCCCTACAGCTAAAGAAAAAAAAAATCTAATTATTTCAGGACAAGCTGAATATTTCTCATGTTCTGATCCCTGAGCTCCCCCTTGTGCCCTGATGGGAAATTGAGTCAAGAGAAAAGTAACACCACATGTAAACCCTGGAATTCAAGCAGCTCCTTTCAGTAGCATTTTGCACACTTGAGTGTGCATCACAATCCCAAATAAATTTTTAACAACATACATAGAAAGGACTCCACCCTGAATTCCACAACATTTTGCATTAGCTTTTAAGAAAATCAATACAAAAAAATAGTTGGAGCATTCTTCTCAAGGAAAAAGAATAAGCAAAATCTATAAAGCATAAGTAAAGACAAATGGTTCTCAAATTTTAAGATACATATTATTACCTTATTCTTTATTTAAAAAATCCTGTTCTCAACACCCAGATATTTTTTAAGTTTTAAAAATAGATACCTGAAGGTATTCTGCTGTAGGAGATCTTGAGAAGCCCTGGCAAAGACTGCTAAGTTCCCTAAACAGCAAAGATTGCCGGAAGTCAAAAAGAGAAATTCAACTTTTTTTATCCTCATAAGGAAAAAAAAACTTTCCATATGCCATCATTTAACCCCATGACACTAGTTTCATTATTACATTAAAACATCAAAATGTACCTTGAGAGACAGATAGTTATTTATTCTCTAAAGGACAGATTTAGTCTTTAGTTAGAGACCTGGATAAGGTGTCAGAAGCCATGCAGGTAGTTTGCTAGAGGCTAGACTCAGAGAGAGTAGTTGCAAGGTCTGGAAAAGGACCTCAGCAGTGCTACAGAAAGTAGAAGAGCACCTGAACTCAAAGCTATCCAGTGGACAGAGAATGATGAAAGACCCACACTTTTAGTGCTGAAATCTCTGAACATACCTTTTCATAAAGTCAGCCTGGTCTCTGGCTTAAAAGCTGGCGGAGGGATCCTCTGATGCTCAAGTACACCTGTCTCCCCCTGTTCCTCTCACTTCCATCTATTATCTTTTATTCTGTGTTCCTGGAATAACATTATTTTCTCACTTTGAATACGTGAAAAGAATAATTAATTCTATGTGATCTGGAGAGATGAAGTTGATGAGAAGTGAAGTGAATGCTGCTGCACCTAGATGCCCAAAATGAACCGAAAATGATGTGCTACCACTGTAGTTATTTTTAGGATATGTATGGAGTTTAAACAATGTTTAAGCTGTTTTCCAATCCTGATGTAATGTAACTAGGATAGTCTAAAATTGTTCAGTGGTTATTGTGAAATTATCAAAATCACATTAATCATTTTCTTTTCAAAGTTACATGCTTTTGCAGTCTGATGGAAAAAAAAAGTCTGGAAACCAAACTATGATCCTAACGATCTTAATCCTGACAAGATAGAAATAAATAACCTACATACTAAATAATAAATAACTGTGAAAAATTAAAATCAGGAGACACTTAAGTGTTCCTCTTTCCATGAAAGCAGTCTTTAAGTTGATACATTTCTGAGCCCAGGAAATTGCTATGTTCTCCTAGTGTTCCACCCAGTGTAGATTCTATTAACTATATCTAGGCTATGGAGAGCTGGTACCTCAGTGCCAATAAGTTAAATGAACTGCACTAGGTTCTATAGGTCAGACTTCTACCATTAATCAGAAACCTAAAGAGTTAGAAATGAATCCTAGAAATTACCCTACCTTGGCTCCATCTCCTTCCAGAGGAAGAAACCATTACTCAGAGGTTTGCTTAGTTACACTAGATAACCTAGCTAGTTAGTTCTTGAGCTAGCATTATACTCCAGGAAAACCTAATCCAGTTCTCAAGAAATCGAGGCTAAACAGTAAGAATAAAAAAAAAAAGATACAAACCTAATTGATTATATATTTCCTAAACAACTTACAGGAGAATTAAGCACTTAAGGACAATAAGACAAGGGTATGTCACTGAAGAGATGGAGAAGTGTGGAGATTGAACAAGGTCTACTCTTACTATTCAGTGTTCCAACACATCCCTACAACAAAAAACCTATAGGCTCTTTTGCTCTTGTTCTGCTTTATTTCTATTAAGAATGTATCTTAAATAGTAATATTCTGAAGACTTTTTCTTCTGAAAATAAATACATACATATGCGTAATCACCCTGTAGAAAGAAGAATACCTGGGGACTGAAATCACACCTGCTCCAGGTTTAGTAGGATTACACCTCATTTTCACGGCAGTTGATCGGCCATTAATACAAGATGTTGTAGTTGTGGAAGACCTATTGCAAAGCAAATAATATTTTTAAAGACAGATACTGTACAGATTAAAAGTACAATGTGTATACTTACTTTCATGCCCTAGGGGCAAATGAAAAAGAAAAATATTTTAAGGTTCACTAATTTAGAATTTTCATGCAAATTCAGTTCATTTTCAAGTTGATAAGCTATCATCAAGGTGTTTAATAAAGCTATTATAATTTTCTCAAAATTATGATTAAATGTTTTCAAAAGTGACAGGGGTCATTTCTATGTATGCTGATGCATTAATTAGTAATTACTACCTAGTCAATGAACTAGAGTTTCTTTGTTGTCTAATTTAAAAGAATATATATTTATTATATACATTTGAGAGAAATTGCATAAGTCTTTCAAATTTCCTATGCATCTTACTTTTTACTGTCATTTAATGGCCAATTTTTATTACCTATTAAGTACAAGCTACCATATTATACACCCTGAGGTGACATCATATATCTTCCCTGCCACTAGGAGCTTAAAATTCAGAATGAGAAATAAAATTCATATCCACAGAGAGTTCTTTTGAAACAAAATATAGTTAAGAAAGCAGCATCTTCACTTACTTATAAAAGAAATTCACATCTGGTATTTGGCTTGGAGAAACTGGAAATATATCTTCCTTTATATTAATGTTTTGCAAAGTGGTTTCAACGGTCACTCCTAGATGGTATTAAAAAAGAAACTATTAAGCAATATGAGAAAATTAGGTTTATTTAGTCTTTGTATGTCTAGGTAGCAAATAGCTGTACTTTGATGTCTGTCATTTTATCAGAAATACTGTATTAACTTAATGCATTCCTGGTAAAAATAAGAAACTTTCCACAGTCTCCAGAATAAAAAGATTATACTCCTTAGCCTTATAGCTTAAGTCATTTCACCTTTGTAGGTCTTATTTCTGGAATCTGAAGTGCATGTAAAGTGCATACAGTAATTTAGATGATCTTTAGTCTCTTTGGTTTAAATATTTTTAAAATCTACTATTAAAATTGTTTTCTTTTGCTAAACTTTGTCAAGCAAGCAGAACTACTTTGCTAATATAGCTATTTTTTGCTCACATTTCATGTAGACACATTTCACAAAGCAAATTTTTTTCTTCCCAGTCGTGTGTGGTGGTGCACACCTGTAGTTCCAGCTACTCTAAAGGCTAGGGCAAGAGAATCTCTTGAACTCAGGAGTGCAAGGCCAGTCTGGGTAACATAGCAAGACCATATCTCAAAAAAAAAAAGTTTGTTCTAATAATTTCCAGATGAGAACTCTAAAATTTGCTTGACCTCATAAACAGAAAAGTAAGATTTTTTTTTCCTATCCCTTGTAGGTAAAATGACAGTAGAACTAAAACTCCAAAAATAACAACACTAGTGTCTAAGAGTCCTAATGCTTAGCACAAGCCTAGTAACTGGCCTTAGTGCTGAAATGTGAAGTTAGATTCTTCTTGAGGCAGTAGCAATGGTTCTCAAATCCAGCTGCATATTAGAATCAACTATGGAGTTTCTTAAAAAATATATGTCCAACCACCATCCCAGAGTTTCTAAATGAACTTGATTCCTAACAATCATTAAGGACCTGAATTCTTAAAACTTTCCTTTACCTTCTAGGACCACAGACAAAAGGTGGCACTTGAGAATAAAATTCAGCACCTCACTTTTGCTATAGCTAACTTCTGGTATAAGAACAGTTGATGAAAACTAGTGGCATATATATAAGATTGTGCATGTTTAATGTTCTTTGGTTTTCTTTTTATTTTTAAAATTATTTTCTCTCTTAAACTCCTAGAAAATCTGATGAAGGCCTCAGACCCTCAGAAAACATATCACAATAATTTAATACATAAATTCAGAATCTTCTTATACTCTCTGAGATTGATTAATAGACCCCATTCTTGAGAACTTTTTAATCACTTTACAAAATGACAATTTTAAATTACCTGCAAGCCTTGACTATCTATGGTAAACACCCATACAATGACAACTTGTTACCATCATATTAGAATAAGAGTAGGCATGCATATATTAACCAATGGAAGCTTACCTAAAAATGTGTCTGCTAGAATGATGGACTGGGATGATAAGGCTGCTCGGAAACCCTTACTTTCAGAAGGAATAATAGTTGACTGGCACACAAATGCTCCTACCAAATTGGTGTAATCATCTGATCCTGTCACCATTTCTTTTACTGTAAAGTCTGATATGTTGTTGGTACAGAGAGCCATCTTCTTCCCCTAAGAAAATAAATTCACAAGTGAGAGGTTTTACTGAGGGTCATTCTCTAATCTCAGTTAGCTAGCAACTCTAGCAGAACAGTGACTCTCCCCTCACACACAGATCCCGATTTAATTGGCCTGGGTTGAGGTCCAGGCATCATTTTTTAAAAGCTCTCAAGGCTATTCCAAGGGTTGAGAGTCACTGTGGTTATTTCAAATGCACTGTTCCTCCCATTGCACAAGTCATTTGTGTTGTATGAAAGCCAGGTAAACTCAGGAAACAACAGTCATCTATGAAACATTCAATTCACATAATAACAATGCATGCAAAGAAAACAGAAAACTACTGCTGGTGAGGGTTTTAATTCAAAGGTAAAACCCTCACCAGCTCTCCCTTCTCCTTCACAGGCCTAAGTGTGGCAGAAAGGTAATGTGAAGGCAGAAGAAGAAAGCCTGGAAGCCACTTTACAGCAGAATCCTAGGACATCTGAATTCTAAACAGTCACTAAAAATGTTCTTATTCACTTAATCACAGATTCAATGAAGTATATCTGTTTCCTAATACAGCAAAGTGAAGAGATTACAAGGAGTTAATTTATTAATCATTTGGGAGTTAGTTGGAAAGCAAAATTTATAAAAATCAGAAGACCTTTTAAACATAATATCTTTAAATATACTATAGGCTCACTGCAAAGAACCTACTTCATTATTTCTACAAAGAAATGTAAAAATAAAATGGTAAAGCTGTTTTATTTACCTTTGAGTATGCACGGGTAGGTAAAAAGTATAAAGATTTCTATGCAACATTAAATTCTAACTTATAAATTTGTCTCCCTCCATCAAGTCTTCTCTGTATTTAGTTAACAATACATATTAACTAAACATAAATTGTTGAAGACAAGAAAAAATGGGAAAAAGCAGAGAGAAAGCACTCAAGAAAGAAAGGGGAAAATAACAGAGACTAAAAGAAAACGAAAGAGAATAAAAAGAAAGAACACATAAGGGAAGAACAGAGAATATGGAAAAAAGATAGCAACGATATGAGAATAAGATTGAGAAATACAACAGAAAATGAAATTAATATCTTTGGCTACCTCACATAGTATCTTTCATATAACATTCATTGTGTATGTATTGAGTTGATTGAGCAAACAATCTAGTGAGTATGTTGGATCACCACATGTAAAGTCATAACAGGACAAATGCATACCATGTAACTTCTGTGGTAATCAGATCTCTCTCTCTCTTTTTTTACTTTGAGCAAGTTTGTCAAATCATCTCAAAATGAAGACAATTGGATATGTAGGCATCAATATGCATATGGAAGATATGCCTCATTTTATTTTCATCTTTGTTATACATAGCTTTGTGTATACACACACACACACACACACACACACACACATACTATATTCTTTTCAAACACAACCTCACAACAATAAGAATATTGGACACATAGTCCTCTACCTTTCCTATGAACAATATCAAAGTTCTACTTCTTCCTCCCAAAATAAATATTTATTAGCAAAGGCTAGCTTCTCAATTAACATTTGGCCTGCATACCTCCTCTTTTTTTTTGAACAAACTTTCTCTTGGAAAACTTTGTGATGGTTAATTTTAAGTGTCAACTGGATTGGATTAAGGAATTCCTAGGTAACTGGAAAAGCATTAATGCTGGGTGAGTATGTGAGGCTGTTTCTAGAGGACACTTGTGTGTAGACTGGTTGACTGGATAGGGAAGATCTACTCTCAAGGTGAATAGGCACCATTCAATTGACTGGGACCAAGGTAAAACTAAAAGGGAGAGGAAAATACTTTTTCTTGCTCCTGGAGCTCCCTCCTAGGCACATTAGAACTCCAGACTATCTGGCCTCAAGACTCCAGAGCTTACACAAGCAGCCCCTAATGTATTTAGGCCTTCAGTCTCAGACTGAGAGTTACACCATTGGCTTCTCTGGTTCTAAGGCATTTGGACTTAGACTTAAGTCATGATAGCATGATGAGTCATGCTATCAACATCCCAGGGTCTCCAGCTCATAGCCTGTCATAAGACTTCTCAGTCTCCATAATCATGTGTACCAATTCTCCTAATAAATCTTTTCTCATTATATATATATATATAATTTTCTATCTCTCTAAAGAATCATAACAAGGACTGGAGTTGTGGCTCAAGCAGTAGAGCACCTGCTTTGCAAGTGTAAAGCCCTGAGTTCATACCCCAGTAGACACACACACACACACACACAAAAAAAACCATCACAAATACAATAAGCTATGCTAAAACTTTCTCAAACCATAACTGCCTGCATAAAAAATGAGGTGACAAGCCTGATTCACTTTTAGTGCCTACCACACAAAAAGAAAAAAAGATCCTCAATGCACTATACCATAGCTCCAACACCTGGGGTTCAGCTGACTGGATAAGCACCTTCATGAACTAAGAACACGATGAGGTTGTCTCTGGTAGAGAAAGCTGTCAGTATGATATGAGGAAACAGAGGATTTAAAGAAAGTTCAGTTCCTGATATTGGCTTTAGTTCCCATAGAGATATTATGGGTCCATCAACAAAGAAAATTTCTACATAGAGCTACAATATAGCTATATCTCACCTGGATAATCAGAACTCACCTCATGCCCACATAAGCTGATGTTGAAGAAATGGAAGTATTTTGTTCCTTTGGAGGTGAAGCTGGGACCATTCATTAATGAACCCACACTGCTGAGGTTGCTGAAGTCATAGTGCAAACTCTGGTTTTCTTTTTCATGGTAGAAAAAGCAGTCACTGTAGCAAACTGAATGGTCCTTTGTTTAAAGATGAAGAAACATAAAGAAACAATATTGCAAGAAAGCAAGCATCAACTGCTACTAAAAATGTTTTTCAAAAAAAGTTCTAGGTATAAGAATTTTCAGTAATTTTGTCTTGGCTATATTTTTTCACTCTATTAAAGAGGATTTGTAAAGTAGAGTTTTCTAGGCAAAGTTCAGAGAATTCAGAATTTTTTAAGTCAGGGAGTTTCTCAAATTAGTTACTTCTACAAAGGCATTTCAAAAAAATAATAAAAGGTTATGCCAACTTATAGAGAAAAAGATTTTCTGTCACCCAAAATACAGCATTAATCTTTGTCTGTAAATTGTTGAAAGATATACTTGATGATTCCCAGATAACTCCTGTAGCCAGTCTACAAAAGTAGTTCACTTGCTTTATCCTGGCAATGCACAAGAAATCAATTTTTAATATTTTGGGAAGCATTTTACTTTGCAGTACTGGGGCTTGAACTCAGGGCCTACACCTTGAGCCACTCCACCAGTCCTTTTTTGTGAAGTGTTTTTTCAAGATAAGTTCTTTAGGCTGGCTTTGAACCACAGTCCTCCTGATCTCTGCCTCCTGAATAGCTAGTATTACAGGCATGAGCCACCAGCACCCAGCATTGAGAAGCATTCTTATTTGAGTGTTTTTCTTATTTTATGTCCCTAGTAACTAGCGCTTTCAGAGCACATATTCAGTTCTCAATAAATATAAGAGAAGATAAAACAGGAAAAATAATGAAAAGCGTTTTGCATAGTATAGAGCAACTCCATTGCTCCTGGAGAAACATTAAGGAGAGCCTCTGGTTTCCTATTCAAACGTGCTTTTGTGGTGATAACTGAGATGCAGACCCACTTACCCGAGTGCTTTTACTTCCAGGCCCACAGGGAATACAAGCCTCTTTGCCATAGACTTGATGCATAGACAGGTAGGTGCCAGGTGGGCACTCCTTGCACTGGTTGGTCTCTTTCTCAATGTAGTGGCCTGGGGGGCAGGGGACACATGAGGAACCCGACTGTTCAGAACCGAGGGCACAGGCACGGCATGAAGACGCCACCCCATCCACTGCATTAGTGGCTGTGATGGAATAAATCTTCACCATGTCATTGACGAACCGTCTATTCTAAAAAGAGAGCAGAAAGTAACGACTTCTGCCTTGAAGCTTACTTATACAAGCAGGTTATGGTTTTATGCTGCTATCACAAAAGTAAGCGAAATTTTCCAGTCTAATATTTTGTAATTGATGGCCAACAACCAAAGGATCAATATCACTCCTTTTTCATTCTTCTAAAAAAAAAAAACCAAATCTTTACACTTAGGAACTAATTTCCACAGCAATGGAATTCTAGGAGTTTTGCCATAATTGGCATTAGGCATATCATAACTGGTATAAGCCTTAGCATATTTATAGAATTTATGTCTGTAAGAACTGGTCTACTTTAATAGAGAAAAAAACTTTTTCTCTCATCATTAAACTCATGACACATTAGGATATTGACAGCATAGTCAGGTGGAAAAGCCTTGAACTAGTGATTACAAAATCTTGGATCTCATTTCCTCATGCAAACACTGTGTAATAACTGATAGAATCCCACCATTTTCTTGAGCCTTCATTTTTGGATCAAGCCCTTTCCCTAGCCAACATATTCTGATCTTCACTGAAAAGCTGTGGACTAGGAAGCAATATCCAGTGAGCATCACTATTGGCACAGTATTACCCCAGACTACTTAATGTTCTTTTTCGGGGCGAAGATAAAATGAAGGTAAAGAATTGGTAGGGTTCATCACATGGCCATCCTCACAACATGGTATGTGAACCTTCCTAATGAACAACTGGAGTCAAACAAAATCTGGAGCATGAATTCCCACTGAAAGTCTGAAGAGAAAAGAGAAATACACTACACTTGCCACCACAGCAATAAAGCCAATTCTGAATAAGAGATCTAGCTGGTTCTTACCTTGAAAGGTCACTTCTAAGAGATCCACAAAAATAACATTCCTGCTACTATTGGAATTTACTTAGGGAAAGTATTATGTCTATGTTAGCAGGAAAAGTAAAAGAAAGGAAATGATTCCCTGTGTTAAACCAATCATCTGTATATATCCATTCTCTAAGAAGAGATATTGTTACCATAATAAAAAGCAGCATTAGGTAATGGCTCCTAGACAAATATCAGATCATTAGAGGAATAGGAAGAAAGATACCAACCTTTTCAAAGTCTCAGAAAGCTTGAAATACACATTATTAAGTAACTACAAAATTAAATTTTCTCTTAAGTTTCAATAATTGCATTTGTTCAGACTTTAGAATTATTGAAAGATACATTGTGTCATCCCATCCATTTCATACATTCTTACTCTCAAATAATAAAAAATTACCATTTTACAGCAATCCATTACATATTCAAATGATTGATTCCACATCAATAAAGAGCTAAGTTTTCTCAAGATTTGAATGATTACTTTGCATGCATCTCCAAGGGGACATCCTCTCTGTGTTTTAAAAATAATAATAAAGTACTTTTAACTTACATCTTGGCCTTGATTAGTTCGCTGGAATGCCCAGGTAAATGTAAATGTTGCATTCTTGAAGATGATGTGGGTATATGCTTGTTTTTCTTTGGTTCCACCCCATGATTCCACCACATTCGTACTTTTTCTATTAATATCCTAGAATAGTGGGACAAACAAATACAAATAAAGCACAAACTCAGTATTAATATATATACACAAACATTACAAAGATGTGCCTGTATTTAAACAATGCAGGGTTTGTGGCTATCTTCTTCAGAACTCCTGTCAAGTCTGAACAAGTACCTCTTTCACTCAGTAATATGCTTATCAACTATGGTGTCAATATAATTTGAAAAAATCTCAAAGCACAGTATGTGTGAGAGTTGGACTTTGTTTGCTTATTGTTTTCTGTGTATGTGTTATTCTATCTTGGCAAATGCACACAGAAGAGGAGATGTAATCCCTCAAAACCCTCACAGAAAACTTCTAAGATTCTTATAGAATGGAAAAGCTTTCCATTTTTATCTCTTTCCTTGAGAGATTCTGCTAAGCAGCTCTAAAAGAGAAATCCTAAGGTACATTGTATTATACTTGCAACTTACAGTTCACTCACGTGCAGGCTAACACAAATGTTATTTTATGGTCATAAAATACTCTTTTGTTTGTATTTAAATTGCAAAAGGTTTAATTTGTATAATTTCTTTCTGATTTCCTTAGCTTAGTTTAAGACTTATAATAGTAATAAAGTATAATTTGTTATAGTCCCACAAATGTGCTATAATCAATCTAGCAAGAAAGCAAAAATAATATCAAACAAATAATGTAATAAACATCTAAGTTATTTAAATAAAAACCAAGGTTATCCCTGAATTTTTAAATTAGTCTTCCCTGCAGAAACCCATACAAATGTCTTAGGAACTTGAATGGGATTCCATTCGTTATTGAAATGTTGACAAGTGTGGTGTGAGCCCACCACATGTCTCTTCTCTTCCTATACTATAATATAAACATAGGAATCAAATTTGTTACTAAGTAATCAAATATGCTATAAATCTTGAGTTCATAACACAAATAAAAATAATGGAAACTGCTTGTCATACATTACTGAAATCCCATTACCAAACAGCCAAGTCATCACACTTGCCATATCCAAAACATAGCTCATAATATTAAACATCATTGCTTTAAGTTATAACAAATAGAATTTATTACATTACTGCAAATAATACCACCTTACACTTGTAAAGTACTACTTTATATCCAAAGCATTGTAAATGTTATTTGATTTGATATCCCCAAAAATCCTTTGAGAAGACCAATCACACAAAGAATAAAGAAAAGCAACATATTCTCCTATAAACTACAATCTCTGAGATTGATTTCCCAAAATAAATATGTGATGTGGTGTTGTGGCACAATCCAGAACCTCAAGCCTTGCTAAACTATAGATTTCTATGTCCCATCTTCACAGTTCTTCATTCCTGAAAGGCAAGATGGAGCCCCAAAATTTTCAGTATACCAAATCCCAGCACTTAGAGGCTGAGAAGAGTATTGCAAGTTCTAGGACAACCTGGACTACAGAGTGAGAAACTACCTCAAAAAACAAATAAAAATCTCCAGTTCAGAGGGGCATGGCAAGATGATGGATCAGAAGTGCCCTCCATTTTGATTCCATGAGTGAAAAAAATCAGGTATCCAAGGACAGACTATATTCTGAAGAGAGAGATAAAGAGTATTGGTAATTACAAAAGAGGTGGCAAGACAGCTGAAAAGCATGGAGAAACAGGCAAAAGAGTAAAACAGAACACTGTTGAACAGAAACTGAAAGAACTGAGACCCACTTCCAGGAACAGCTTCCTGGTGAGTGAGTATTGCCAGATAGTAATGAGAGAACTGAGCCCAGGCCCTCCTTAGCAGGTGATTCCATAGCTACTCCCCTCACAGCAAGGTGAATACCTAGGCAGATCCAAAAGCATTGAGACAAGATTGCAGAGTGTCTTTGTCCCTCATTTCTTCCCCTACCAGTGCAGAAGTCAGTGATTTCCCCAAATTATTTGACACATTCAGGGGCTACTTGCCCCTGAGGATACATATTAGGTGGAGAGGGGCATGTGGGAACTTCCCAGCCCATACATATTCTTTAAAGTTATCTAAAGCCATGAGGGGCTCACATTTCACAAAAAGGAAGCTTCTACAGTGGAAGAAGCCCAGCATCAGACAACCGAGCCTTCTAAAAGACACTTAAGCTAGTTTTCTTCCATCTGAGCAAGGCTGGTGATCAGGCCCAGTGCCATAATTTTGTGGGTGAATGCTTGGCTACTAAGCCATTCCCCAAGCCCAAGGGTGAGAAATAGTACCTCAAGCCTGCCACTATACTATCCTGACTGAATACTGAAAATATTTCAACTGAAAGACTATAATTGATTAAAACTTCCAATGAATGACTTGACCTCAGATGAGCAAATCCCAAGGAAGATATGCAATCCATAATGATAGTGAAGTGAATGAAGTCCTGAATAAAGAACTCAAAAAATAATTATAAGAATGATGTATGAAATTAAAAAGTACACAAATAAATACTTGAATCAATGAATTCCAGGAGAATACAAGTAAATAGCTATATTAACTCAGGAAGACAATGCAGGATATAAAAGAATTCAATAAAGAAATACAAATCCTCAAAAAATCAAAATGAAATTCTGGAAATGAAAGTTCAATAAGTTAAAATCTCAGTTGAAAGTCTCTCCATTAGATTGGATCAAATTGAAGACAGACCATCAGGTCTTGAAGACAAGGTGGATGTAATAATGCATTCAAGTAAAGATAGATTAAAAAGTAAAGAAGTATTCATGGAATATGCAAAACTTCTAGGGCACCATTAGAAAACCAAACCTATGAAGCATAGGCAAAGGAGAAGGATTGAGGTGGGAGGAAGGGGAGGAAGAGAAAGAAGAAGAGGAGCAACAAAAAGATCAAGAAGAAGGAGAAGGAATTGGAAGAGAAGGAAGAGTTGAAGGAGAGAAGGAAAGAATAAGAAGGAGGAAGAAGAGGGTAAATTAAAAGAAGAGAGACACATTCAATAAACCAGTAACAGAAAACTCCCCAAATCTGGCGAAAGGGATGATCATCTAGATATAGGAGGCTTTTAGGACTCCAAACAGACAAAACCAGGTAAAACCTCTCTAAGGGATATTATAGTTAAGGCCTTATGTATACCTTCTTAGATATTCTTTTCATAAAAAAGAATACTGCAAGTTGCAAGAAAGAAGCACCAAGTCACATATAAAAGTAAATCCACTGGAATAACAGATTTCTTACCAGAAACCTTAAAAGCCAGGAGGGAATGGAATGATGTATTTCAAGCCCTGAAAGATAATCACTGCAAACCTTGGTTAATGTATCCAGCAAAGCTTCCTTTCATAACGTAAAGGAGAATTTTTTTTAAAAAACTTCCATAATAAACAAAAACTAAGGGATTTTATAACTACTAAACCAGCACTGCAGAAGATACATATAGGAATCCTTAGAGAAAAAGATAAATGTAATGAAGAATATATGAAAGAGAATAACCCTGCTAGATGAGTAGATAAGCAAATGAGGAGTAGGGAAGAATCAAAACGGCATGATTTAGTACATACCTTTCAACAATAACTCTAATTATTAATGATCTGAATCTCCCATCAAGAGACATAGAATGGTAGAAAAACAAGCCCTGGTTGTTGTTTTTTTATTATTGATAAAGGGAACAATGCATCAAGAGAATATAAAGAAGGTGAATATGATTGATGTACTTTCTATACTAGTATGAATAGAGAACACTCAAACCTGTTAAAATCACCATAAGAAAAGCACTGAGGTAGAAAGGAGAACAATGGAGGGAATGAACCAAATTGGGGTATAATACATGTATGTAAGGAAATGTCACAATTAAACTCCCTATATAACCACCATAAACAAATAAAAATATCTTTTTTAAAAATGAAGGACAGAAAGCAAAATACAGGTCCTGTCTGGGGGTTGGTGCCAGTAGGAGGGGGGAAGAGCATAAGGAAAGGGTAAAGGAGGAGTGAATATGATGGAAATACTGTGTATTCATGTGTGAAGGTGGAACAATGAGACCTGTTGAAATTGTTCTTGGAAGGGGGTAAGAGGAGATGAAGAAGAAGGATGGAGTAGGTGAATTTTTTGTAAATGTCACAGTTACCCCTGGTAAAACTATAATATGCTAATAAATAAATATTTTTCTATGTTTGTAAGAACCTTACAAACATAGCCAAAGCACTAATAAAAGGAAAGTTTATAGTTATGAATGCCTACATTAAAAAAAGAAGACATCTCAAATAAATAACCTACTGATACACATCAAACCCTTAGAAAATGAGTAACAAGCCAAACCCTAAAGCAGTAGGAAGAAAGAAAGGTTAAAGGGAAGAAATTAATGAAATGGAGACTAAAAGAACAGTGCAAAGAATCGATGAAACAAAAAAGATCATTCTTTGGAAAGTTAAACAAGATTTAAAAATCCTTAGCCAAACTAACCAAAAGAAAGGAGAAGTCCAAAATTAGAGTAAAAGAAGGAGCTATCACAAATATGAATGAAATCCAAGGCTCATTAGTGAATACTTTGAAAACCTATGTTCTAATAAACTGGGAAATCTAGATGAAATTGATAAATTACCAGATGCATATGACATACCAAAATTGAACCAAGAAGATAAAAAAAATCCAAACAGATCTATAACAAGTAATGTAACTGAGGCAGTAATAGAATCTTCCAACAAAGAAAAACCCAGGTCCAGAGGAATTCACTATTGCATTCTTCTAGCCCTTTAAAGAATTTTTTAAAGAATTAACACCACTGTTCCTCAAGCTATTCCATGAAACAGAAAGGGAAGTAACACCACCAAACTCATTGTATAAGGCCAGTATTATCTTGATACCAAAAGTGAGCAAGGACACAACCAAAATGAAAATTAAGATCTTATTACCTTGATGAATATGAATGCAAAAATTCTCAATAAAATACAAGATGAATTCAACAACACATTAAAAAGATCATACACCATGATCAAGTTGACATCATTCTAGTGATGCAAGGATGGTTCAACATATGCAGAACAATAAATATAATACAGCACACAAACAGAATAAATGAC